AATCGGCATCGCGTGCATGCACATGCATCACTGGCAGGCCGTCGCGGTAGTAATGGCTTTGTGCGGTCGCGGTCTGCATTGGCAGGATTGCGGCATTCATGGATACGAAATTCGGTGCGTTGTCGTTAATATCCTCTACGATGACGGTCACCAGCTTCTCAGCGGATAGTTGTGGTTCAGGTGTTTCAGCTTGATCGGTGGCGACGACGGTCAAACGGAAAGTGTCGATGCTTTCGCGATCGATTTCACGCAGCGTGTGTATAACACCGGTTACAGTGTTGATGCCAAAGTGGCGACCACCCGCTTGTTCAGGGTCCTGCTTAGTGATCGAATATGTAACCTTGCCATTCAAACCGGAATCTGGATCCTCGGCAGTTACCGTTACAATGGGCGTCTTAACCGCAATTCCCTCTTTGATTTGCCGCACAATGGCTGTATTTGGAAAACTCGGCGGATTATCATTTTCATCCACTACATTCACGGTGAAGACAATTGTGTGCGACAGTCGTGGTGTGCCGCCATCAGCGGCGGTTATATTTAGATTGTAAACGGTAGTCTCTTCATAATCAAGCGGTTTGTGCAAGTAAAGGCTACCGGAAATAGCATCGATATGGAAAGTGTCCTTGCGATTGCCGGCTGTGATGCTATAGGTCACCTGGCTGTTGACGCCCAAGTCTGAATCCGTAGCGTGGAAGCGCATCAATTCTGTACCGATGCCACTCGTCTCCAGCACAGATACCTCACTAGCTGTTTGCGCAAACTGCGGCTCCACATCGTTTTCATCCAACACCTCAACTATAATTGTGGTATTGGTGCTTAGCTGCACCTTAACACCAGCATCACGTGCCACCACGGTCAGCTTGTATGTAGACTGTTGCTCGCGATCTAGCATACGCGCTAATGACAATTGACCTGTAGCATCATCCATGAGAAAGCGTTCCTCTTCGTTGCCCTCGACAAGCGAGTAGTATACGTCGCCATTCAGGCCCTCGTCCGCATCAATCGAATAGACGCGCATTACTTGTGTGCCCACAGCAGCGCCTTCGGATATTTGCACGCGGTAAGGAGCGCGTACAAACTGTGGCGCGTTGTCATTGACATCTGTTATAATTATCTTCACTTTGACCTTGTCGTGTAAGCGCTGCGCACCATTATCCGTAACGATAGCTTCCAATAGCACGTAGTTATTTCCATTGTTATTGCCATCGCCTACGTTTGCAGCGCCAATATTTGTCTGGCCGTTGGATTGTCCACCCACTCCAACGCCGGTGCGCCGCTGTACGAGCTCCTCGCGATCGAATGGATGCAGCGTTTTGATGAAACCATTACGCATATCAATGCTGAAGTCTTGCTCTTGCGTTGCCAAAGCATAAATCAACTCTGCATTGCGTCCAATGTCACGATCCACTGCCGTTAGCTTGCCGACAAACGAATCGGCCGGCTCATTTTCCGCGATGCTAAAGGTGAAGGTACTATTTGTGAACTGTGGCGCATTGTCATTTTCATCGATGACATGTATGATTACCGGCACTACAGAGGAACGCGCCGGCACACCACCATCACGGCATGCCACTGTTAGCGCGTAATAGTCGCGTTCTTCGCGATCTAGCTGCGCGCGCACAAATAAATAACCATCGGGAAAGACGCCGAACTTCCGCTCTGTATTGCCCTCGATTATGTCGTAGGAGATGCGACCATTTGCGCCGAGATCCGCATCACTGGCGGCTAGCGCAAAGAAGCGCGCATTCACCTTGGTCGACTCGCTTAGCGATGTTTCGTACGATGTGTGATCGAACACAGGTGTATGATCATTGACATCGGCGATGAGCACATCGATGGTATGTCGCGTTGACAGTGGCGGCGTGCCACCATCTGTGGCCATTAGCTCTACATGCAGCAATGTGCCGGGTGCAGCGCGCACTGGACGTTGCAATTGAAGTACGCCCGTTGATTCACTAATACGATACTGCTCTTCGGGATTGTAGGTGAGCGTGTAGGTGACACGGCTATTCTTGCCTGAATCGCGATCACGTGCGCGTGACAAGTAAACCTCTTGACCGACAGCCGCGTTCTCCGGCAACTGTATCTCACCGTCACGATCTTGTGCAAAGATCGGCGCATTATCGTTCAAATCAGCAATTGCAATGCTCACTATACATTTCCCATATGCCAGCCCGGTGCGCGCCATCACAGTGAGCTGATACTGCGCCAGCTCTTCACGATCAATACGGCGCGCTGTATGTATACGACCGGTGCGCCGGTCCACAACAAAATTCTTATCCGCATCGCCGTAGACGATCGTGTACTCGATGTTGGGTGGCAATGTCGATTTACCAGCATGTGACTTCACCTGAACCCGACCCACCTCACGTCCTTCCTCTGCCTGCTGTTGTTCATGATCTTCTACAATTTGGAACTCATAACTGCCATATGAGTCGAACTCGAGCAACTCCATTTTGGATTGCAACACAATCTCAACCAATGCATCTTGCTCACTACGACGTTCGCCGCGATCCTTAGCCGAAATTTTCAACTTGTAAAGTGCCTTGGGCGACTGGCGTATATCGCTGCTGCTAGCGCGCAGCGTTATCGCACCACTCCATGTATCGACGACGAAATGCCCATCGCCACCTGACTCCAGTTGGTAGGTAATTAAGGCATTATCGCCCGCATCACGATCGCTGGCAGTGACTTTCAATAGTGGCTGGTGGTTGTCGCCCGCATCGTCAGGCAACGCATAAAAATAATGACTGGGATAGAACACTGGGCTGTTGTCATTGACATCCTCCACATTAAGATAAACAGTAGCCGTGGCTGATTGTGGTGGTGCGCCCTGATCGCGTGCGATCACCAAAATCTCATAATGCGCAATTGTCTCACGATCAAGTACGCTCCGCGTCGTTAATTGGCCAGTGAGCGAATCGAGCGCAAATTGTTGCGGATACTTGCGCTCCACACTGCTCGGCAGTGTGTATGTCACCGAGCCGTTAGTGCCCTGATCGTGATCGGCGGCAGTTAGCATGGCGACCAATGTCTGTGGCGGCGTATTCTCGCTCAGCGTAACATTGATGTGTTGTTGCGAGAATTGTGGTGCCTCATCGTTTTCATCCAGTACGGTCACTTTGAGCTGTGTGTACGCCCACTTTGGGTTTGGACCGCCATCACGTGCAGAAATGCTTAGCTCGACGCTGTCCTGCACTTCGCGATCCAATGCCGCCTGTGTTGTTATCAAACCGGACGTTGGATCAATGGCAAACCATTGTTTATTATTGCCAGAAACAAAATCATATGAAATCAATGCATTAACACCGGTGTCCTCATCGGTGGCCGTAATGGAAGCCACGTACGTGCCCGGCGGAGCCAACTCACTCAGCACAGCCAAATACTCAGACTTCTCAAACACGGGCTCATGATCATTGACATCGTTGACATGGATAATTAGGTGCGCCGTCGCTGTACGCGGCGGTGAGCCTTTATCGATGGCGACAACTGTCAAATTGTACTTGCCAATTTCCTCACGATCCAACACACCATTAACGCGCACAATATCAAACGACGGTGTCTTCTCCAAGCGAAAGTGGCCCAACTCATTGCCAGAGATAATGCGTAAACTTGTCTCGCCATTCAATCCCTCGTCCATATCGACCACAGACACAGCAGCAACGACGCTACCGTTTGCCGCATTCTCATCTACCGTTGCAAATGTGCCTGTCGGTGGGAAATACTGAAATCGAATGACCGGATCGTGATCATTAGTGTCTACTAAGTTCACCGTAACGTAAGTGCGTCCATCTTGACGCGGAGAACCATGATCGCGCGCGAATACTGTAAAAACACAACTTTTCGGACAACTCGCACCCGGTCGTGCGTAAGTCTGACAATTTTGTTGCGGACAATTTAGCAGTTCGGTGGTAGATATAACGCCAGTTTCGGGATCGACTGTAAACTGTTGCTCGGTGTCGGCCAAGTAGTAAGTGATTTTGGCATTATCACCCAGATCGTTATCGGAAGCCATCACCTGTAGCACGGGCGTGCCGGGCGGCACAGACTCATTCAGCGAGACAATGTAGTCGCTATGGTCGAATATCGGTGGATTATCGTTGACATCGACAATTGTAACATTGACCATTAAGTAACCATATTTTGGTGGATCGCCACCATCACGCGCCGATATATTAAGCTGATAAAAACCACATGTTTCACGATCCAAATTGCCCGTTGTTTCCAAATGCAGATACGATACATCGCCACTCGGATTCGTTGTTACGGCCAAACGAAATTTGTCCTCCACATTTCCATCCACAATACGATAATCATCGGTCACACTATTCTCACCAATATCGCGATCGGTAGCGGCATCCAGTAGTAGGCGTGTGCCCGTGGCCGCACTCTCCGAGAACGACACAGCAATGCTGGGTTCGGGAAACTCGGGCGCATTATCATTCAAATCCAGCACAACAATGCGCACCTCGATCGGATATGTGGGTTGTGAGGAGAGCACAACTAAGTCGTAACGATCACGCATGCCCTCTCGATCCAATACCATATTCGTCTTAATCTCGCCCGTTACCTGATCGAGCGTAAATTCACGTGGCGGTTCATTGAAACGGTAAGTGAAATCGGGTTTGGTCGGTATGAAACCAACCACGGTACCGCGAGGCTGACCCTCCAGTACCTCGAATTGTGCACTCGTATCCACCGCACGCGACTGCATCAGTCCGCTAACACCATCAGCGCTCGCCGAAGAGCGTCGACGTGGAAACGCCAATACACTATAGTGTGCTATTGGGCCGGACGCGCTCGGACCAAAAACCGAAGTACCATATACACCCGACGGCTGACGTTGGCTGTGACATGGCGTTGGCCAAACGCAGAGTGCAAATATCAGGCAAATAAGTGGCACAACTTTGCTTAAGACTAAATTATGTTGTCGGTGACGTTGTGCTGCTGCCGCGTAAGCAGCCGGTTGCACAGGCTCTATGTGCTTTTGTGGCGTAATTTTGCAGTCTTCTTGTATTTTTTGACATTTCTTAGATGCATTGACTTCTACAGTAACAGCAACAGTGCCGGCCGGAAAGGGAGCTGGCCTTAATGCGCTCGTCGGCTTGGCGGTGCGCTTTGTTGCACGTGTTGCTGTTGTGGCAAAAGGGAGACTAACGCCAGTGCGCCTGCTGTGTATGGTTGGGCTGCTGATATTTGTGGCAATCGCAGAAATGAAGATATCGTTACAATTTGGCTGATTTGTCATGCTGTAAGTGCGCGCCTTTGCGTTCGAATTTGCGTCTGTGACTGTGACCAGTTCGACGGCTTGTCCGCCGCGCCGTTCAGCGAAGTGCGCAACGTCTGCAGGCAAATATTTCGCGTTGCTGCAGCACATCATAATGTGGCTGCGTCGTTGAAGACTGCCAAATGGCGGTCCTTTACACTTCTCAACTGTTGTTTATTATGTTGCTTTTGCAATTGCTGTTGTTGTTGTTGTTGTCGTTGTATTTGTTGTAATATATGTGGAATGCTGACTGCTCTTCGCCCGTGTGACGCTGCGCTATTTGCAGTGCGCTGCTGCTTGTTGTTTGCACCTTCTGGAATGCGCTCACGTTTCTGCCTTTTGTTGTAAACACTTAGTCGCTGCTTTATGTGTTGCTCGCTTTGTTGTTGCTGTTGCTGTTGCTGCTGCTGCTCGATTTCTATTCGCTGTGGAATGCGCAAACTCGCAGCCATTAGTGTACCCAACGCGATAAGTTCTGGCGATTGGTTTCATTTTATTCCCGTCCGTTGCTCAGACATTTTCACTATTGCACACAAACAACTCGCACATAGTTACGCGCACAAACACAATCACAACTAACACTTGTGTACTATATTCAACTATTTTACACTTTTATAAATATACTTTGGGTAATTTATGATGATGAGGGTACGACGTCGTCCGTCAGCCTCAAAGCCAGTTTTCGATTTTCACTTTTTTCCGTTGTAGGTTTAAAGGTTTTGTGTATTTTTTTTCGCTTTTTTGTTGTGATTTCGATGCTGAGACGTACACTTTTTTGCACTTAAAACTCGCGCTAGCAACGCAGCAACGGCGGTGACAGGAAGCCAAGCAAATCGACCGAAATCACACAAGTTGTTAAAATAATCTGAAAATAAAGCGGGAAAAATAAGCAAATTAGAAGCAGTTCTTTTTTTGAAGCTAAAGATTGTAAATAAAAAAATATTTTATATATTTATAATAAGTCATTATAAACGATAATCTGTAGTTATAACTATTACTTAGTGCGCTTAGCTGTGTCTAAGCCAATTACCACATTAATTACGAGCATTACGCTTATTATGCTTTTACACAAACTATACATATGTAAATATATATATAATATTTATACCCCGAACATAATATGTTTAGTTTGTCACAAAGTTTGTAACATTCAGAAGAAAACGGCGGAGAACTTATAAACTATATATAATATATATAAATGGGACTTAGCTAATTTAGCCATGTCCGAACTAATCCGTAAGTTTTTGAGATACCGATCTGAAATTTTTCACACGTCATTTTCTTTCCAAGAAGCTGCTCATTTGTCGGTATCGGGGATATCAGACTACTAAAGCATATATCTGCCATACAAACTGAACGACTAAAATTAAGTTCTTGTATAAACAACTTTTTTGTTGGGCAAGATATCTTCATGAAATTTGACACAGATTATTTTCCAGGGCAACCCTACAATATCCGAAGAAATCTTTGAGATCGGATGACTATAGCGTATATCTGCCATACAAACTGAATGATTAAAATTTAGTTTTTGTAAGAACAATTTTTTTGTTTGACAAGATATCTTTATCAAATTTAGTATTTAATATTATCTAAAGCAACACTATAATGGTCGAAGAAATTTTCTAGATCGGATGACTATAGCATATAAGTGCCATACAAACTGAACTATTAAAATTTAGTTTTTAAATACAAAATTATTTTGTTTGGCAAAATATCTTCACGAAATTTGACACAGGTTATTTTCTCGGGCAATGTTACAATAGCCGAAGAAATTTTTCAGATCAAACCACTATAGCATATAGCTGCCATACAAGCTAAACGATCGAAATAAAGTTGGGGTAAGGAAATTTCTTTATCTGTGAAGGGTATTCTATCTCCGGTACAACTGTCGTTAACGTTTTTCTTGTTTTATTTATATATAATTTCTTCTGCTCTCTCCATGCATGAAACATGTGCTCTTATGCGCTGACTCACAGCCAATCAGCGGCGCGTTCAAGCGCTTAGCCACGGTTAGCAGGCCACACAAGTTGGCGCTACCATTTCCATCACTATAAATTAACACAATTAAGTTTAACTGCAGCAGCAGTCGATTTGTCGCTCGATCCAGGAGTAATAACTTGTCCCAATAGAATAAAAATTAGTTGTTATACTAGCAATCAAATATAAAAGCGGTTACTTTATAATTATAATAATACAGTTATCATATTTAGAGTATCCTCAAGGTGATTTTATATTAATATTGTTGCCTTAAGCACCTGAATTTTCATATGTGTACATATATATTTGTCTCAGGTGTTACATGCAGTCGCAAACTACTTCTAAAGAGTTTACTTTGACTAACAAATCTACAAAGATTAATATCAGAAATCACTTAGTTGTTTCCTAAAACGTTGGAAATTGGAGTACAACACAATTTTCTTAACTAACGCATACAGAAGTCTTTAATGTATTTATAAGTAATAGTTTACAGGCAAACGAGTTCATAGCTTAAATATTTTGTATGGCTTTGGATTAAGTATACACAGTGCGATTTACGCATCCGCTAAGAGCTTATCATTTAACTACTTTATCGTTTATTTTAATTCATGCTTAATTTTCAAATATACAACCTGTAGCATATTTATATTCTAAGCTATAATCACAAGACCAGACAGTCTAATTAAATGTTGCCGTTTTTCGAAAGTTCAAGCACAGCGCAAAGCACTCACAAAATGAAGCGTTAAACGTCTACTCTATTTCGCAACGTTCGATTTTTTCTACAGAATTTGGGTAATCCTTGAAAAATGTTTACGAAATCGAACAACTAAATTATAGCAAACAAAAAAGTGAAGTTTGAAGCGCGTTGTCGCTGGTAATGAACGCGCTTGTCAAACGAAAACAAAGCAAAGCAAGCGCTGCCAGAAAAATGATCACAGCAGCAGCAATTTGCCAATGCATACAGCGCTGCTGCTTCACCACATATTGCTGCCGCGTTGTATTTTTGGACTTTTTTCGGTATCGGAGTGTTCGGAGTGTTTTTTCAGCAGCCAACGCCATCGCGTCCGGCAATAGTGCTCACGCCGTTGATTTTTGCTTTGCTCGCAACTCTTTTTATATATATGAGTAAGGGCTGTTTGTTGTTGTGGCTGCTGCTAATGAATGGTTCTTGTTCATGTTGGCATTTTTGCTGCCACTTTACTGCTTGTTTTGCTTTCTGTCTAAGTTGCTTGGCTGACTAAGTTGGGTATAAATGGTTTCGGGATGCCATTAGAAATTTGCAGTCTACGTTTTTTGCGCGTATCGGCTGCTTATACGCACCTAAACAGATTTATTTATAGATATGTATGTGTATGTATATGTGCGTGTGCTCGTATGCAAATACCTTAAGCGCAGTTCTGGCGTCTTATTTGTTTTGGCAATGAAAGTGTTGGCTTTTCGAGATTTTAGAACGGATATAGAAGTGTGAAAAGTAAGCTGTCAGATAAATAACAATTAGAAGAATTATAAACAAGACAAAGCGTTCATCAATACAAAATATTCCTTACAAGAACTTGATTCCAATCGTTCAGTTTATACGGCAGCTATATGCTATAGTTATCTGATCTCAATAATTTCTTCGTAGATTGCACCAATTCTTTAAACAATTATTCATGGCAAATTTTTTGGAGATATCTCGTCAAATGAGAAAGTTTTCTATGCAAGCACTTGATTCCCATCATTTGGTTTGTATGGCAGCTATATGCTTTAATAATCCGATATCGGCGGTTCCAACGAATAAGCAGCTCTTCTGGGTAGAAAAGGAAGTGTGCAAAATTTCATATCGATATCTCATAAACTGAGGCACTAGTTCGCGTATATACAGACTGTAACGAAATAATCGCTGAAGTTTTAGAAAGACTTTTGGGAGGAAGCAGGCATATAATTCCATAGATGGAATATATGTTATTCAAGAGTAAATCAAAATTAACACCAATTAGATCTATAGACCATTTTTTTATTTTAATATAAATAATTTTGAAGTATTGAGTGAAATTGGACAATAACGCTTAAATATACTTATTTTGTTTGTTATATGCATGCTTCTATAGTAATTTTCTTTACATAAGGAGATCAATTACTGGACTTCTTAAGTTTTTATAGAAACTATTTTGAGACTTCTGCATTCACTCGTTATATTTATTAGAACAAAAACCAACGGTGAAACCAATTTCAGACCATTGTAAGCGCCAATACTTTTCACCAAAAAAGTGAGAGAGAAAAAGAAAGATAAAAAAAACTGAAAGTACGTCACAAATGTATGGAAAAAAACCTCAAAAATTCAAGAAAACAACATTCTAATGGCGGGTTACAAGTGCCAGCAGAAGTTCTCAAGCCAGCTCTACACCATAAAAACTCTGCTCCACCAAACACACAAAGCAAAACAAACCTGCAGGTAACCAAAAAAAAAATGACGCAAAGCAAACAAAGTGATAATGAAGTGCACAGGAAACTGCCAAGAAAACGAGTAACAGGAGTACACAAAAAATACAAAATACAAATGAAAAAAGAGACATAAAACAACTCGCCAGTATCAGGCAATAGCGCAGATTGAAAACTACCAAAAACCACTGCGCAAAATTGCAAAATTAGAGAAACAATAGAGGAGGCAAAGACGGCAGCCGAGTGTAAGACCATGCAGCATGGTTATCGGCGTACAAATGCTCGTAAGCAATTGAGGAATTTTATACCCTTCCGCTGCCGGCCGCTTCATATGACTGCCGGCAGAAGCAGCAGCCAAAGCGCACACTCAATTTTTTTTGTTTCCAATAAGAGCAACAATGAATTGAACTGCTCCAGCAAATATCAAAGCTGCTCACACCAAAGCTCTTCTTTGCAGATCATACTCGCACAGCTGTCTACATACATATGTTTAGTTATATATGCATGAGTGTATATTTAGGAATATGTTTGCTTTGCTGTGCATCAGAGCCAGTTCGTAGAAATATGCTCTAAAATGTTAGCACAAACACATTGACGCGCGCGCGCGCACATCAAACACCTCTAACAGTCGACAGCCCGAAAAAAGGCAGACAAGCGAAAACAGGAATTTCGGTATGTAGTTGTTGAAATTCAAGGAATTTTGTTTGAATCCTTGCTGCCGCTGCGCCTTTGTGCCAGTTTTACCTGTCCACCGTCTGTGTCAACTAACATTGCTGTCGATCGCCGATCTGCGTCCAGAGTATTTCACTTTTATTGCCGCCATATGAGCTGTTCGAATTACGCCACACTTGTTTGAGGTATTTGCCGTGTATGTTTGTTTGTCCGTTCGCTTTTGTTTGCTTTGCTGCGCCAATATTTGTCGTATGTGATATTTTAAGCTTGTTGTGTGCGTTAAGTGTTCGAAATCCATTTAAAATAATTTTCTATTGACTTAAGTTGGGCACTATTGGTTTGGCGTTAAATTATGTATATTCACTATTGTTGTAATTTAGTCGAAAATATTTTTTTTTTACATTTGAAAAGCATTTTCTGTAATGTTTTTAAAATAAATACACCCAAATATAAGACGCTATTTTTTTAAGCAGCTGGAGACTTGTAATATTTGCAGAGAAAACTATCATATAAGTGTCATTTCAAATACTAAGGCTCAAAGGTCATATATTTACATATATATATATATTATACAATATTTTACAAAGGAGAATAAGTGCCGAAGAAATTATGTAACTTTCAGCGTTTGATATTTAGATTGCTGTATGATAGATTTTAAAACACGATTTGCAAGCTCTTCTACTTGTTGGTGACAAGTGCCTCAAACCAATTCTTCATTCTATCTTGAAACAGAAATTTATGAGCACTTATATTCCTTTCAAAAATAGGTTGCTTGAGGACGTGGATCAAGCTCTA